CATGGCTCGACACGAAACCACACAAACACAACGCCCACAACAGCATAACACACGAAACACGTTCACTATCTGGCAGTGGAACTGCAGGGGGTACAGGAGGAAACGGGCGCTTCTCCAACAATTCTTACGTAGCCGGCAACGACCGGACGTAATACTAATGCAGGAAACCAATGACCCGGTCAAGCTGGCGGGGTACAAATCTATACAAATCAGTACAAATCTATAGACGAAGCTGTGACCGCGGGAGCCCCACCGGCCGCTGCAACGCTAGTGCGACGCAACCTCACCGTGGCGCAACGCGAACTTATGAACGTTAGCATACCGCATGTATTCATAGAGCTCATTCCGACGAAAGGGCGCGGCCCCAGGCTGTTTGTGCTGAACGTGTATAGCAGACCCAAAGCCAGACACCGCTTTAGCACGTTACTGCGAAAGGCACGCGAGGCAGCTGCCGACGGGCCCTTGCTCATCGCGGGCGACTTCAACGTGCCCCACGCGTCGTGGGGGTATGGCTACGAAACGCCAAAAGGTAAGCGCCTTTGGGACGATGCGCAGAATGAGGGCCTCGAGCTCATCACAGACCCTTCTGCGCCTACGCGCAGGGGCAACAGCGTATGTGCAGACATCTCACCCGACCTCACATTTACCAAGAACGTTGCTAGCGCGCGATGGCACAATACACAGGAGGACCTGGGTAGCGATCACTCAGTGATCGAGATCCAGGTCGACGCTGAACCTCACCACCGCGTTCATCGGGAAGGTACCAAGGGCAAGAACCACCGCCTGGTGGATTGGGACGCGTTTCGCAAAGTCCGGAAAGAGCACAATCGTGGCAATGCGGCTATTGAGGATATAGATAGCTGGACTGCGACGCTCAAGGGGGATTTAGAAACGGCGACGCGGGAGGTTCCGCCAGAAGCCCACCTCGAAGTGGTATACAGCAAACTCCTACACATGTGGGAAGCCAAGCGCAGCCTGCAAGACAGGTGGAAGCGTCAACGCCACAATCGAACGCTGCGCAGACACATAGCACGGCTAAGCAGGGACATGGAAGAGCACGCGTTACAGGTATGCAAAACGCAATGGGAAGAGATCTGCAATGGGATGGAGAACCAGCTGGGACGGGCCAAGACGTGGCATCTCCTCCGGCACCTCTTGGATCCAGAGGAGACGAAAACATCGCACGCACATAAGCTTAACAAGTTGCTGCATGACTACAAAGGCACCCACGCGGACTTTCTGGATGACGTGCGAAGCCGTTACTTTCAGTCACGTAGCCCCCTCGCGCTCTCGGCATACGCCTGGTAGGGTGAAGGTAACGCGGAGCTAGACGAGGACTTCAGCGTTGCAGAGGTGAGGGTGGTTCTGCACAGGCTCAACACAAAGTCGGCGCCAGGCCCGGACGGGATAACCAACAAAGCGCTACGTAACTTGGACGATGAGTCGATAGAACAACTGACGGCTTACATGAACGAGTGCTGGAATGCGGGCGCTATACCGAACTCGTGGAAAACGGCGCGCATAATTATGATCCCCAAACCGGGCAAACGAGTACAGATTGACAACCTTCGACCGATATCCCTGACGTCCTGCGTTGGTAAGGTCATGGAACATGTGGTTCTCGCTCGCCTTACCAACTACCTCGAGGACCGAAACATGCTCCCACACACGATGCTGGAGTTCCGTCGTAACCTTTCCACACAGGACGTTATGCTTCAACTCAAGCACGATATCGTAGGCAATCCCACACGATCCACCAAAGCGATACTCGGGCTCGACCTCAAAAAGGCGTTCGACAACGTTAGCCATGCTGCGATACTTGAAAGTATACGAGCGTTGGGACTTGGCGAGAGAACGTACCACTACGTACGGGATTTTCTTACGGGCCGCCCGGCCCGATTAGCGATCGGCGAACTAGAATTGCAGGACATATACATGGGTTGTACGGGCACGCCGCAGGGCTCCGTAATCTCGCCCATGCTCTTTAACCTCGTGCTTGTCGGATTACCACGAAAACTCGCTGAGATAGAAGGCCTCCACCATAGCTTGTACGCCGATGATATCACCCTCTGGGTTGCCGAGGGAAATGACGGCCACGTAGAGCAAACGCTGCAGGAAGCCGTCGACGTGGTGCAGGACTACCTTCGCGACACTGGCCTCGAATGTTCCGCAGCTAAATCGGAGCTCCTGCTCTATAGACAATCGCGCAGGGGCCGTAAACACAAGAACGCCGATTCCGCATTCGAGTGCGCATATAGAGAAATTAATGTACGCACATCAGACGGCGCTGTCATCCCACAAGTTAACACCATTAGGGTACTGGGCTTGCGCCTGTCCGCCAACGGCCACAACGGCGAAACCGTTCGCCGACTACAGGGCGCGGTCAATGAAACAATCCGGTTGCTGAAACGAACAACAAATCGGCATAGCGGAATGAAGGAAAGCAACACCATTCGCCTAGTACATGCTTTCGCTATGAACCATATAACGTACGTCGCCTTCTACCTCAAGTGGCAGGCGACTGAACGCACCAAACTAGATTGTCTCATCCGCAAGGCGTACAAACGCGCAATAGGATTACCGGCCAATACCAGCACGGAAAAATTTCTCGAGCTGGGGTTGCACAATACTCTAGATGAGATAATCGAAGCACACAACATCGCCCAGTATGAACGTCTGGCGAAGACCAGAACTGGTCGACACATTCTCGAGGCACTGGGTATCAACTACCATACGCAGCGCGGCGAAAAGGTCGGGATACCCAGACGTATTCGCGAGCGCATCGTCGTTATGCCGTTGCCGAAGAACATGCACCCGACACATCACATCGGTCGGCGCAACAGGCGCGCCCAAGACCTTGAAAAGAAATTCGGCAATAGCAAAGACACAGTTTACGTGGACGCGGCCCGTTACGACTGCCACCGCGGCTTCGCGGTCGCGATCACGGATCATGTAGGAACTTGCGTCACGAGTGCGACGATAGGCACGGAAGACACGGAGGCGGCCGAAGAAGCTGCCATAGCCCTCACGATAGCCACCACGGACGCCGAGGTGATAATCGGCGACTCGCAGGCGGCGATACGCAACTATGCCAGTGGCCGGATCTCCCGCGAAGCGGCCCGCATTCTCCAAATTCACGAACGCAACATCTGCCGCAAAAACGACAGCTTCCTCGTATGGACCCCCGCCCACACGGACCCTCCGCTTGTGGGCAACGCGACTGCCCACGCCGCGGCTCGAGGACTTACACGCCGAGCTGCGACGCCTGCCGACAATCCCGATGTCTCGCACACTTCGACAGCGATGCGGGAATGGACGTAAGGGGAACGCATGACCACTCTCAGAGACATCACGCAACACTACAGACTGAACAGATGCAAATATCCACCACCCCACGCCAAACTAAACAAGAAACAGCAGGTTGCCTGGAGACAACTACAGACACACACGTAACCGAATCCGGTGATCCTTCGCCTCTGCTACCCAGGCATTTATACGTCCGACGCGTGTAAGGCGTGCGGAGCCAGAGCGACGCTGTAGCACATGCTGTGGAAGTGTACCGGTAACGCGCAGCTGTCCCCTACGAACCCGGTAGACATGGCGGTCTCGAACCGCGAGGCGCGATGGGAGGCGGCTCTGCTCAGCCACGACCTTGCTGATCAACTGTGGGCCGTCCGGCAAGCCCAGGATGCCGCCCGGGTCCAAGGACTCGAGGCCGTCACCTAGGCCGGGGTGCTTGTAGCCCCACCCCGCTCAATGACGCCGGACATGTTCAATAAAGTTTTTACTCACTCACTCACTCACCCATAATATTGCTCTCAGGACTAGAACGGCAGTTCAGTGACCAACGCACCCGTAGTCAAGACAACTGAATAGTTCCGAAAAGGCTTACTAATGACGTAATGCGATAACATATCTACAATGTTCCTTCACTCCTCAAGAAGTATAAAAACGAAAATATTGATATTCATGCCTTAAACCCAACAGCCATTAGACATCTTTATTTGGTTTCAACGATTCATGACGCTTGCTTGGGAGAACAAGTACGAAGACTTACTAAGTAAATGCTAAAACTATCACTCTTTTATTTGATGGTGTTCGTTTCTGTTGTATTTATATTTATAGTATTTATTCTAGTTTTACTTATCACATGAAGTTGCATTGTTTTTTTTTTTGCTTTTCGCTTTTCAAGAGAGTTGTCAATTGAGCACTGTTGTACACAAACTCACTTCTTCTATGTCCTTATTTATCTGTTATTAGTACAACTCATGTGTCTTTATTAACTTTTTTGTTGTATGCTGTGTATAGTGCATGCTGCCATAAAAGCTTTCAGGAACTCAAGCTGTTTGCAACAGTTTGTCGCCTGAAGGGCCCCCAACAAATACTAAAAAATGTTGGAAATAAAGACTTTATTGACTGATTGATGTCGCTGTAAAAAGAAAAACGCCTTATAATATTATCATGTGAAGTCTCTTTAACGGTTGTAAAACTTTGATCCAGAATCATGGAATCACACCAGGTTGTGTACTCAAACACGAGCGGCAAGTTTGTTGCGGCCCACCCATTACAGTGTGTGGGGGTGCGTGGCACCTAACAGACTCGTAGTGGTTTCGTTGTGAATTTCGAAATAGAAGAATGTTGGCCTACTGGATGCTCAGCCAAACATGCCGAGTGTGTCAAGGACGTTGTGTAGAACATTTTTTTGTCGCATGTCCGTTCTACTCAACAAGGCCAAGACCGAGATTCCTCCAAGTATTTGTCGTCGTAGTTAGATGTAATCCATAAATGCATCTCACGCTTTTGACAGAGTTACATCAAAGGGCGCGGGACTGCTCAGGCACCTTGTGTTATCGCAAGACATTTCAATGTTCTTTTGAAAAGGTTAGCTAACAAAGAGTTAAAGCATATGGAGGAGACCGTACAGTGTGAATTCGAAGTTGTTGGTGCAATGCTCTGTGGACAGATATAGCCTGGTGTGCAAAAGTTATCGTTACACTTACCTTCACATTGTTGTCGAATACCTCTTGCCAAACTACGTAGCTTTTTCCCAAGGCCTGAACGATCTCTAGCAATCTGCAAAACGCACAGTAGTCAACAACTATACGCATGTTCTATTAGTAGTGTAACAATGTTGACTTATTATGATGGGCAACCGATGAGAAATGCTGCATACGGAAACAGAAAAAGTCCGTAAAAAGTCCGTAAAAAGCTTCGTTTATTTATGCAATGAACTTCGAATGTGCCGTATTTCTTTTAGATAGTCCAGGAAGATGCAAAATGGCAAGCTTTCCCATTATGAACTTGAGCAAGAATGTGATTTGACGTTGTTTTTGGATAAGGTTTTATCGCAATTTAAAGCTAAAAATTGCTACCTAACACTCACTAAGAGTTCATTAAGATATCTTTTTCCCTGCCGTGTTTTGCTATGACTGCTAAAAAATAGGAACATTTTCAAACGACTGTTAGTGCAGTACAGACGTGTTGAGAAGCGTTATACACACTTTGAAAACCATTACGTGATTTCGGAACATCCTTGACAACGCAAGAGTATGTGGGACACTTCTCACGTGCCTCGTTGTGTTGTCCTAATTTGTGGCTGCTTGTCACATAGGAAAAAACGCCGTGCTCAGCAACTGCATTTGCAAATGAGTACTGCGTGAACCCGCAAGTAGGCGGAAGTGTTAAGAAAGAGAAACAAAACATCTACCTGTTTGTAGGACAAAGTCACAGGGAAATAAATAAAAATTTTTCAGAAAGAAAAAGCTTCTTAGTTGCCGAAAGTTTTGTCGTGATCCGGCGTTCGAGCATGGAACCAGCATTTTTCCGAAGTGGTCGCCCCACCAATTGAACTAACCAAAAAGCTAGCCATTGACAGCTTGAGGGCAAATTCATGAACAACTCAAAGCACATGGACACAAGTATTGCAAATAAGTTCTGTGGAAACTCGCAAGATGGGAAAGGGTTTAGAAAGGGAAACAATTAAGACCATTTAGCAGAAATAATTTGCAATACGTGTGCCCATGTGCTTCGAGTTGACGGCAAAACCGCCGTCGCACTGTAAATGGCAAGCTTACTGGTTAGTTCAATCGGTACAGCGTCTACCACAAAAAGGTTTTGGCCCGAGGCTCAAACCACGCACAAAACAAAACTTTCGGCCACAAAGAAGCTCTCTTTTTGGAGAAGTTTGTATATAATTCCTTGTAGGGTGGTTGTCTTGTTGAGCGGCATTTGTATAGCACTCACGCCTACCAAGGAAAAAATAGTCAAAAAGTGCTACGACTATTATTATTAAAACAGTTGTTCGGTAATGAGGAGCTCAACAGACACACACACATACCAAGAAATAGGTAATGTTGCGCTCTGTCCCGTTGTATTGTATTGCGTCAGCACGCGTGCGCTTTGGTGTAAAGAAGGAACGAAGTGTAAATTTAGGGCTCGTTTTATTGTTCAACACAATAGTTCTAGCTTTTGTAAGGCCATCTTAAGTTTTGCTCAATTGCTTGAATACTTGTGTTTAATGCCCAAATGTCAAGATCGTCTGCATATAGCGAATATTTCAATCTCGTAGGTAAAATAAGGAATAATTTAGCCATAACGCAATAAAATAGGCTTAGTTTGCTACCCTGTGGAGCTGCTTGGCTAACTTCATGCTCTTTACTTTTGTCGTAAGCTGTGTCAAGGGAGATTTTCCTGTCTCTTGGAATGCTGCGATCCATCTTACTGTTCTGTCAACTATTCACAACTGAATTAAATCGTGTAGTACTTGAGCGTGGCTGGTTGCGTCAAATGCTCGATTTAGGTCTGGAAAAGCTGCATTGACGTTTATTCCTCAGTTACTCTCGTGATCTACATAAGTTACAACGTATAGAATGGAATTTACGGTGCAGTGGCCCCTGCGGAAGCCTGCCAAGTTTTTCTGAAGGCACATTCGTACATTCGATCTACCACTGAAGTCTAGCCTGGGTCATCTTCTCCATAACTTTTCGAAGACAGCTAGTCAGGCTGACAGGACGGCAAGATTCAGTGAAAAAAGGTGTTTTGCCGGGTTTAGAAATTGGGACCACACTGACAATAATTATTGACTCTTTTAAGAGCAGAGGCATAATTCTTTTTCGTGAGAAATCAGCTCTACTTCCATTTATAAGAACATGCCTTAAGAAATTCAAGCATCAGATAGGCTCTCGGCACATAGAGCTCGTGCGACAGCACAAATTTCCGTGGGTTATTTTAGACATACATCTGTCTTGGGCTTGACAGGTAAGATCATTGAAGAAAGAAGTCAACTTCGAAATCAATATATTACATCGACTGACTGGAGTGAGATGGGTTAGTTCATTGCAAAAGGATCAAAATGTGGGCCAGTTGGTAATTCATTTTCTTCGTTCAGCGAACTGGGAGCGCAGAGAAGCCTATCACATTTCTGAAGCCTATCACATTTCCAGGAATACGGACCAATGTATAAGTCATCCTTCCTTCTCACTACTTGACTGTGAATTCAGCTACCTAGATAACCCTTAGACATGTGCCTTGATTACACGCTTCGCATGCTGCCCTTGATGTCGTCATAATCTTTTTGACATGCGCATTTTGTGTTTATATATGTCCTTCCGATGTGGAAAATAAATCAGTTGATAGTTGAGCGCTCGTGTTGTGTGGTTCCTCGCTTCGTCCTTTGTGTTTTTCTCTGCGCTCCCAGTTCGCTGAACGAAGAAAAAGGGTTAGTTCATGTTCTTCTTTATTGTGTGTACATTCAACAATAGTTACACAAAAAGTAGCTTACTCTGCTCCGGCTTTACATGGCACATCCCGAAGCTTAGACGAGAGGATCAAAATATTGTTGTCCAGACGCCTTCGTATATGTCTTAGTGTGCCCCAAGCATCTGCCAGTGCTTTGGTAATTGCGAAGTCTCGTCAACCAACTTTCCATGCTCTGAGATTTACGGAAACTTGTCAACATTATCTTCGCTTGGCAACTCAACAAGCTAATTATCCCCTATACCAACCTAGTCAGGCGTGATTACCAGCACGAATACATAAAAGTATAGTAGAATGCAAGTTTACTGCCTACGCACGAATACTGGCCTCCGTATGCATCCCGCTCACCGTGGTGTCTCTCTATTTCAGATATTTTAAGTTTGATTGCGAGATCAACTTGTACTAATGTATAAATCAAATCAAATCATGTCAAAAATCCTTATTTGTCGCAAAAAATATGCATGCATTGGGGTTAGTATATACAGGAGGAGGTCCCATAGCACAAGGCTGAAAGGGGACCTACTGTTAGAAAATGATATGCTGATAAGTACAACAAAATGGCAACAAAGAGCGATTAAGTTTATAATAATAGTAATAATACAAACGCAAACATGCAATATAAATGCCAGTAAAATGGTGATGATGATGTTTGATGTTTTGTGGCGCAATGGCCCTTTCACGGCCAAAGAGCGCCAGTTTATCTCGCTAAAGATATGGACATTGGTTGTGATAGGCGCCTGTATAAGGGCCATAAAATTCCTCGCGGTAAGGCAGATAAAAACATACAAGTAATAAAATCATGACCATGCCTTGAAAGGTGTATGTGGTCTTAATAGATGACAAATGTTAGTGATAACGGAAAACGATGGTGGAAATGTATGGCATTAGCACAAGTGCCTCACTCGTTCATGCCCTTGCGTCTAAGGGCCGTGAGGCAAGTGCTTTGTAGTGTAGCCACCGCAGCGAAGACCTCTCTGGAGAGGTCGTGCTACGGAATCCCCGGGTATATGATATGAAAACTACGAATTTCGTTTGAAAACGCTAACATTGATTTATGACTAAAAAGCGGTTCCCTACCGACGAACATTGCAGGGTATAAAGGTATATGTTGTCGGTAGGGTAATTGAAAGTGTTCTTTCTTAGAGTTTCTAACTGTTTGCACTGGATTAACATGTGAAGAACTGTTAATGCTTCACCACATCTGTCACACAATAGTGGATCGCCACTGGACAAAAGGTATGTGTGTGTCGTGTATGTGTGTTCTATCCGGAGCCTCGTTAGTATCACTTCTGTATGACGCACTTTTGATACTGGCAGCCAATGACCAAAGTGTGGCTTAATAATGTGTAGTTTGTTTTGTGTGTGTCTATCCCACTTGCTCTGCCACTACTTCTTGAGGTTTAGTTTTAGAGACGGCTTAAGATCAAGGGCCGGGATTGATATGGGTCTAGTGGCAGTGCTTTCGTGGACAGATGCAGCAAGCTGATCCGCCCTCACGTTGCCTTGGATCTCACGTTGCCCTGGCACCAAGCACACTACAACATGTTGTTTGAGTGTGTAGAGTGTGCATGGAATGGAGTAAAGTGAAACGAGGGCAGGGTTCTTTTGTTTTTTAAGAGTGTGCAGAGCCGTTACCACACTGAGGGAGTCGGTATAAATAACTGCTCTTTGTATTTGTAATTGCTTGATGTGTTTAGCTGCCACATGTATCGCGTAAGCTTCCGCTGTGAAGATACTTGTGCCTGGATGAAGAGGGCCAGCATTCGAAAAGGATGGGCTGACAGCAGCGTAGGACACAGAGCAGTTAGACTTGGAGGCATCTGTAAAGAACTCAGGACGTGTGTATTTGTGTTGAAGTTCCAGGAAGTGTGTTCGGATATGGGCAATAGGCGCATGTTTTGTAACTTCTAGAAAAGACACATCGCAGTCTATAGTCTACCACTGCCACGGTGGTGGGTATGCTACAGGAGCCAAATTAATTGAGTTTAAGTGACACTCCAGTTTTGTCAGCTAGACCCTTCTGGCGAACTGAGAAGGGCTGCCTCGTTGAAGGCCTGTTTTGAAACAGAATGGAGCTCGACAAGTCATTAATAGTAGATTATGAGGGGTACTTCTTGTCTGCTTTCACCTTAAGGAAATATACAAAGGACAGGTAAGTTCTCTGCAGATGAAGCAACCACTCATTTGACTCAACGTAAAGGCTTTCTACGGGGCTGGTGCAAAAAGCACCCGTAGAAAGACGGATGTCCAAATTTTGCACGGGGTCCAGCATCTTCAAAACACTTTGAGTCGCAGACTGATAAATACGACCTTATAGTCTAAGCGGGTGCGAATGAGGCTTCTATACAGATTCATGAGACATTGCCTGTCACTACCCCACGTAGTACGTGACAACATTTTAAAAACATTCATGGCTTTTAAACAAATTGTTTTTAAATACTTGATGTGCGGTACGAAGCAGGTCAAAGCCGAAAAATGGGTTATCCCCACTACTTTGACCATGACCGATGAAAGATCGACTCCCAAGAAACAATTTTCTCAAAAACTTTGTTGTTCAAAAAAAGTGAGAACCCACCGTTGTATGTAGTGCTCCTCCAGCTTGTCGAAACGTGAGATTCCCATTTTTCGCATGAAGCTAGTCACGTTTGGATTCGACTTCCTGCGCATAAAATAAAGACCCCACCGAAAAGGTGTTAAGAAGAGCTCTTCTGAGCCAGCAACTTACAGTTCTCAAATACTTTTTTTACGTCTTTCTAAAGGGAAATTTCAACCTTCCGCATCTTCTGGAGAGAAACAGCATGTGACCCTTGCACACTAATTGAAACACGTTTTTTTTATGAACTACGCAGTTTTTATTTGCCCTCACAAGTTTGGTTTGCTTACTTTCACAGCGAAAGCAATCAACGTTGAAATTTTACTTGAAGCGGGTGTAAATTATTTTAAAGAGCACAAGTGGTTACTAAAGCTGAAGAAATGTCATTGTCTAGAGTCCTCTAGAAATTGTGACCAGTCTGGTAGGCATTGTGTTCCGCATAAGGAGTTAACCAAAACCCTATTCTTAAAAAAATCATGATTGCCAAACTCTCATGTTGAGAGAAATCGTTTTCAAAAGCACACATTGCTCACATTGGTAAGCTGCCAATGCAACGTTTAAATTCTTTTAGGATGCAGTTCTGGGAAACTTGTTGAGTGTGGACACTTCTAATAGCCAGATAAGGATGAAATATTCTCCACCAATTCCACCATATCTTACCAGTGGAAGGATTGCCCTTGAAACGTGATGTTTCTTATATAATATTTCATGTTCTGTGCGTCGTAGAAAAGCAGTGCTTGATGTTCGTTGTATACATAGTGATTTTTATATTTTCTTTGCGTTAAGCTGCTAACATTCACAGGTTCCCATAGGTTAATCAGTGACACAGCTGCTGACCCGAAGGTCGCGATCTTACTCCCGGTCGCGCCGGTCGCATTTTCATGGACGCAAATTGGTTGAGGTCCGCGTACTGTGTGATGTCACAGCACACTAAAAAATACGAGCTGGTAAAAGTTTCCAAAGCCCTTCACTACACTACCTCTTATATTATTATTTGGTTCTTGGAAGTTAGGCCTTCCTATTATTAATATTATATTATTATTAATATGCTTGCATTCACTTACAATTGTACATTTGTGTGATAATTCATTGCATATGGCACCCTCTGTAGCCCACCAGATGTTCCTTCAAGTTGTTTTGTTGAGCTTTATTTTTGGGAGACTCCCCAAGAAGTGTATTGGAAATAAAGTACATTCTGAAAAATGTTTATAACACAAAGTTAGCAATTAGTGTGAGATGAAAAATTTCAGGCGTCCCAGTGAAAATTTTTGTTCATGAAATGTTTTATGCACACGTTCTTGTTCGTTAATAGCATTCTGCAGTTAACGTGGAGGAATGTGAGTCAAAAGTGACTCACAATGCTCACGGCAAAGTCGTTAGGATGAAGTCACCTAAACTATCCTTTCTCGCACTTATAGGTCTGTTATGCTATGCAACAATTAGGGTTAACAGTGGAAATGCCTCAGAGCTGGCTGGCCGACATTTCGATAGGAGGACCTATCTTTTTCAGAGGAGCCGTGTCATCCTTGGCGTGTAATATAATTTTAAAGGATGACGTGAAATCCTGGTGGTGGCACGTGTCCCTGCTAATAATCGCCGTCTGAAAAAAAAGAAACATAAAGCAGAGGAGTGCTGTCCTCGCTTTTCTTCAATTCAGTTGGTGGTGATTCACCAGGTGGTATTGATTCAAACAAAGAGAAAGACAACGTCTGGTCCCTGTGGCAGGCATAATGCTGCACCTGCAAACACACACAGCCGGCTACCAGCGTAAAAAGCGCAGATCTGATTAAATTCACAACGTGACGTCGAGCGTCGTCTGCACTTCAAACTACCTAATATACTGTTTTGAGTGTGCCACCTGTAAAAAAACAATATATAAGAGAGACTGGGCAGCCGATTCACGTAAGACTGAACGGCCACCGTTCTGACACAAAACAAAATTTACCAAAAGCAGTGGCCGGTCAGTTTAACGAACAGTACCAGGATTTTGACCAAGCAAGGCTTTACGTTCTACAAACTAATTTCTGGTCACCGCGAGAAAGAAAATAAACTGAACATACTTAATGCACAAATTTAAGTCCCTACAACCATCATGAATCAATGTATCACGGGGAAATTTGGAATCACTGAAACCCGTAACAAAGTGGCGCCAAGATTTACAAAAACAATATGCATTTCTCCTTCAAATAGACATAACCAGTACTAGATTTAATCGCGCCTCACCCACATATTGAACTATTCATGTTCTCTTTCAAATTTTCAATTTGAAATATAGATATGAATGCTTCTACATGCAACTAGAAAGTTTTCAATTTTAGAACCGTTAAAATACTGCTTTGTTTCCTCTTTCCTCGCTTCTAAAAACCACTTTTACGGCTCATCGTTAAGGACATTCCCAACCAGAAAGTTCACTGCGTCTTTGCTCTCTCTCCTCTTTTTTTTTCCTTTTTTCCCCCGCCTGTTTACCGTAACGTACCAACTACCCCCCACCCTTTCTCTTCCCCCCTTTTTGTGTGTGTTTGTGTCTCCTGGTCGCTCATTCCTTTTGCATCCTTGAATTTCCTTTTCTTCAGCCAACATGCCGCCAAATTCTTGAATCAATTCCGCTGAGCGGGCCACCTACAGGGGTACTGAAAGCATATTTTTGACAGTGACCTTCCCTATCAAACACACGCTCTTCAGACCATATTTGGTATCGCCTACCTTCGACATCTTGGCGTTTAAGAATACGCCACCTGCTTCTCCCCCTGTTTGTAACTGCTTCCTTGTTGCGCGTCCAATTCATAGGTGTTCGGAAACAGACGTACGGCGATAATAGACAGTTATAGTTAAACGTTAGCGTGATAGCGTAGGTTAACAGAATGGCGTTACCGTGGAGCACACGTTCGTTGTGGGCAGCGTCTTATAGATTAGCGGGATAGCATTTACGTGGTTTACATGCCCCAGCTGGGATGGTGGCACCACCTATTAGATGGGTAATAGCATAAACAGTGAAAATGAAATTTTTGCCTATGCCAGCAAAAAATATTTGCCTATGCCACCGAATGAAGTATTGCTAGAATTTTATTTCAGTGATAATAAAAGTAAATAAATATGAACCACGCACCAAACGCGAAAACATCTACGTGGCTGATTTGTTTGCATCCATCTTGTAGTTAGGACTAGGTGCGTTCAAAATGGGAAGCTATCTCAAAAACTATGCCATTTCGTCCGTAATACTCAGTCATCGAAGCTAATTGAAGGCAACCGAAACCATTTTGAACAGTCGTTTGCGGCGGACAAGGTGAATATTTTAACAGCTACGCCGAAATCACTTCGAAGCGGGCGTCCGAGAGCACCACCATGTTTACGTACACCAACGCAACCACGGTAACGTGAAATCTGAAAAATGCCGCGCGTACAGGAAGTTGTACGGGTGACGTACGTATCTGCACATGCGTACTTCGATTCCGGTATCACGGTACACCCGGTAACCCGGTAAACCTGGTAAACCCGGAATACTATAACTTTCTTGGAACGAGCACATCGACACAGTATCAAGTAAGTTATCTCAAATAGTGGGACTAGTCTACCGGAATCGCCTGATCCTTCCGAGACATGTAGTGATATTATTTTACAACTCTTTATTTTCCTCAAGAATTAACTATTGCCATCTAGTTTGGGCATCGACTAGTCAAGAAAACATACAAAAATTGTATTGTCTACAAATCATGGCCGTCGTCTAGGTTTGGTCCTCTCTTCTCCTCTCGCACCTGAAAGGGGAAGAGGACCTTTCTGCTAATTAAATAAAGTTTTTTCATCATCATCATCATCTACAAAAAAGATTTCTACGTGCTGTAGAGGACGTGCCTTCACATTTTCACACCTACCCGTTGTTTGAAAAGTATAATGTAATGCCTTTTGAGAAGATGTACAACTTTAGATTAGCGAAAGCCTATAAACAAGAATTAAAGGGGAAACATGTATTCTTGACTGAACTTGCCAACCTTAAAAAAAATTGTCAGCCTTATAAAACGCGAAACTGTGAAATTTGGACTGTTAAAACTGGTAGAACAACATATGGGCGACATACGTTAGAAAACAGACTTCCGAGGCTACTAAATGCTTTATACGAATTTAACTTTCAGCTGGAAAGCAACACTTTCAATGCAATACGTTCCTTTCTTACAAATAATTACATTGACACTATATAATATCTCGCGCATGCCTATGAGTGTCAACTATACAGAATATGTCGGTGTACCCTAGGCATGGCGATTTGTAACCTCCTCATATTTTCTCATATTTTCTTTCGGTCGTGTATTGAATGATTTGTGCAAATATATATCTATTGTGTACTCTATGTAAATTACAAAGTTATGTTAATCTGTATGCATGTATTATGAAGGTAATCAATATGTACTGAGCTATTTAGTACATCCGTTGGTGTATATTTTTCTTTTGTGTATGGTTTGTACGCAAGACGTGGTTATTCGTAGTGGGCTCACATTTTACTTCGGGTCCTGTACTAAGTGATTGATCTGTTCAGCACATTTTTTTTGTTTTTATGTACTGAGAACACCGTTGTACGCTGGTGCCAAAACGGGGGCCCGCAGCTTCGTCAAGCTATCCTTGCGATGGCTTTTTCTGCCGGCCTCCGGCATTGTGTACTATGTGTGTGTACTATGTACATGATGTCAATAAAGTTCACTGTTCACTGTTCACTGTTCTTTATTGTCGGCAAGCTTTTGTGGTAGCCGGACACGGCAACCGTGTGCCGGCTCCGAAGCTCTTTCGTTTGTTCGCGTCTAACGCGGTTACCACTTTTGCAGCACACCGCTGCAACTTTGCGTTTTTTCTTTCTTCTTTTGTTCTTTTTCCACTCTACGAGAACAATTTTGAATCACTACCACCTGACTTGAAGGAAAGCAAGAACAGCGGTGCCCTGCTTTGTAGTTTTTTTTTTCAGACGGCGATTATCAACAAGGACACGCGCCACCACCAGGAGATGACGTCACCACTAACACCTTTAAAACTAACACTCCAAGAATGACATGGCGCTTTTGAAAATTTGAAAAAAAAATAGG